TGGATATCTACCTAAGCTCTTCCATTCCAACTTCATAACATATTTGAATAGAAAATGGCATAAATCTCCTGAAGGAATAAGTCTTTTTCCCTGGATAATGTATCTTTTTTTCTTTTTCTAATGTGGATTAATGTTTACAACACCTCTCTGATGTGGCAACTGCTCTTTATTGGTATTATATATGCGTTACTTCCATTACACAGACAAGAAGAAAACATGCAGAGTATTTCAGCAAGTAGAACATTATTACAATATTCCATGTGGATAATCAAAATATTTAAAATGCACAAAATCATCTTAGATTTAATTAATATCTAATCAGTAGCTTAATGCTTTTCCTTCTGACTTGTGTGTGTGTGTGTGTGTGTATTTATGTGGGCGTGCACGTGCGTGCATGAAAACAGTCTTGGGGCTTGAACTCAGGGATATTGGTGCTGTCCTGAGCTTTTTTGCTCAAGGCCAGTGCTTTAACACTTGATTGACAGTTCCACTTCCAGCTTTTGTGTGAGTGGTTAATTGGAGACAAAAGTCTCAAGGACTGGTCCTTCCCAGGCTGGCTTTAAACCTTGTTCCTCAGATCTCAGCTTCTAGAGTAGCTAGAATTACAGTCCTCTGTCTTCTGGATAATTATATATTTTTCAACAAATAACTTCTATTATCTATTAAAATGTAACCAAATTAATATTCTCAGAAATTAAGTAGGAGAGTCAACTAGAACAAAATGTGAGCCAATCATGGAGATTGAATTTGAAGGGAAAGTGTCAGTCTAGACTATCAATAACACAAGGAGAGAGCACACAGATTTATTCAGATCAAATCAAGTGAAACACAGCCATGCAATATAGTCATCAGATTGTGCACAGGAGACATCCAGCTTTGATGATAATGGTGTGATTATTTTGTAGCCATATAGCCACCCTTCCATGGAGGACATTATTTATTCATTTGTATATTCATTTATCCAGCTCTTACCATCAGCCTGTCACACCCTGGGGATATGATCCTCTAAACATGAAAGCAAAGCCTGTATCCTAATAAAGCACAAAAACTTTGATGAAGCAGAGAACAATGAATAGGGATCATCTTTTGAAAAAGTTGTTTCCAAAAGGCATCAATGCTGTGAACCTCCACCAATGAAGTGATGTGCCGTTGGTTGCTGGAGGTGGGTTACTTTAGTCTGGGTCATCATGGAAGGTCTTTCTAGGGACTGTAGGTGAGTACAGGACTTTTTCAAATTTGAGTGTGCCTAGGAGCCTCCTGGGGACTTGTTAAACAGTAAAATCTAATGTGTAACTTAAGATTCTGCATTTCTAGCAAAATCCCAGGTGATGCTGATATGCCAGGCATCCAGACCATTCTTTTAATCATATGGACCTTAAATAAAATCAAGCAAGGTAAAAGAATTGGGTCAATAACTCTCTTAGGGATACTCTGTCTCAGTGGTAGTCACATGTTGGGGATATTATTGGAACGTGAGGAAGTAACTCTGACAGGTGATCATGGTCATTTATAGCTGCAAGAGAGGCTAGGAAGTTAAAAAACAAAAATGAAAAAACAGAAAATGTAAGAAAAATTAGCTCCTAAATTCCCAGATTCTCTGAGCCAAATGACATGTACATCTAATATTTAGTAAAGCTAATTTATGAATACGATTATCTTTCCTCAAGGCCTTAGTCATAGGGAGAGGCAGGTGTAACATAAAACTTGTCAGTATACTTGATTATGACAACCTGCTGCTGCTTGCCAAAGGTTGGACTACAAAGAAGGTTCTTGATTTTTTTTTCTGCACTGAATATGATAGGACAAGCCACACACATAACCTTGGAGTTGTCCGGACAAATTGGAAGTGCTTACTGTCTAGAAATTGTCATTGGGATTCCTCTGTTCTGTGATAACTGATGATATTCTTTCCAACCAATGAATAACCCAGCATCAACCAATGTGGCAAAGCAAATGCAGGGCTCCCTTATAAGAAATCAACAATAATAACAGAATTGGGCCCCATGCCTGGAAAAAAAATGACACCTATTATTATGCTCAACTGGCTTGAATGAAAAACAAAATTAGCATAATGAGTAAGCCACGGTGGAAAAAAAATCTGAAAGGTTGAACACACAAACTCAGAGTGGAAAGGAAAGGTACTTTATGCTGTTACATGGGTAAAATTCCTTTAACAAAATTAATTAAGCAAGTATTTACTCAGCATCTATTATCTGCAGGTTACAGTAGGAAACACAAAGCCAGCTTCAGTGCCCATAGTGATTTGGGAAAGAAGATGTATAGAAGTTTGATAGATTGGTACAAGGAGGATGAGGTGAGGGAAGCAAGCTCCAGAGCTCAGGTGGTCTAAGAAAATCCCGCTCACTAGACGAGACAGAGAAAAGATTTCCATGAGAAAAGATGGGTGACAGGAAAGCTCCAATTGAGGGCAAATTTGATCATGTAGACAGTGAGAAAAAAGGGTGAGAGGTTTATTAGCTAGAACAATCAGGCCAGCTGGCTTTCCCAGACACTGCTAGGAGGTTAAGAGGTGAAATGGTAGTGATACAGTGGGTTGTGAGGAGCTTTAGCAGCTGATTCTTAAATAATTTGAACTTTAAAACCCTTAATGTGAGAAAAGAGTATGCCACAAAAAGATTCAATTGTGCCTCTTTAATTTTAATAATGCAATGGCCTCAAATGTCAGAAAGTTAATGACATTTTATTATGGAAGCTGTCTGGTTTTAATTCTCAGCACTGTCTTGAAAAACCTAGCAGTCTGAAAACTGCAGAATCCAACGGGAACATCTCTGTTTCCATCTGACTTAACTTCTGTACAACTTCTGGCTGTCTCTGTTGACTGATCACTGTTCCTCTCTATCTCTTAATGATTCCTCCTTGTGCTTCTTCCAGAGTTACTAAGTTCACTTCTCTCTTCTTGAAGCTTGCATAAAGCTGAAGAGCCAACATGTGATTGAACCAAAATTTGAGCTACGAGTGTGATAATACAAAGCACTTCATCCTGACATCTCTAAATGAGAATTCATTACTAGGCAGGAGCTAGGCCGGGAGAATGGTACTCAATTGGTATTTGCTGAATTTAGTCCATCCACAATTCATCCATGTTTTCCCAATTTAAATAAAGCTCAACAATTTTGTCTATATAATTAGCTTTATTCAAATTTTGTCTATATAATTAGCTTTTATTCAATTAGTTTCAGTTAGTTTTAAATTTTTAATGCCCTCTGCACTTGTTTCATTTAGAAATGATCCCTTTTAAGCCCTGGGAAAGTTTTTCTCAATTTTTTTCCCCTTAAAAAAAAACTGTGGCCAGAAACACTGCCTATTTTATTTTTAAATATATTTAAGTCTTAAGAAAAGAACCCCAAGTTGGTAAGATGACTGATACATTTTAATATCAAATTTGAGTCTATGTAATCAACTGATGAGAAGCATAAAAAACAGGATCCCATATCAAATTAACTCGATGAGTAATGATAGGTGTGAATCTGATACAGTATACATATTTTCTTTTTGTAATGGAAGTAATATATGTATCCATCACTATATGCATGTCTTACACACATACAAGTGAAAATACACAAGAGCAAATACAAAGGGTAGCTTGCATTCTGTGCTAATCTTCCATGAATGAAATTCCTTGATGCAGTCCTTATTGTATTCCATCATTTCTCAGCCCTTTCTTTAAACTGTTTTTCTCATTTTCAATTATCCAAATCAATGTATAAATAAATAATAAAATATTTTAAAAATAGAAACCCATACAGGTCATGTCTTTTAAATAAAGACTATAGCCTGAGCTTATAGGAAATTACTTTACCTAACACAAACCTTATTTGCACCATTTAGATGAACTTCAGTGATGTCATTTGGGATAAAGTCAGCTCAGTCCGCCGAGTTTTCAGGTGCTATAATACAATTCTGCTCTGCTTACACAGTGACATTTTAATGATTTTCAAATACTGAACTTGAAGTGTAAAAAAATGCCGTGTTAATACCTTTCCTGTGAGATATGCCATCAGTTGGTGAATTTTAAGATGTTTTTTATATTATTAATAAAGGCTAGAAAAATAATTGTTTTATAATAATGATGATTTACAATAGCTACTTTGGCTCTCTGAAAAGTCTATATGCTTTTAGGGGACATATACAAGGTAACAATAAGGGAAAAATGATTTTGAGGGTTTAGTATCTTATAGAAACAATACTTAATTTCACACAAAATAATCATTTGATGAACAGTCTGTTTTATATATATATATATATATATGAAATATACTGTTAGATATTATAAAGCACAGGCTCAACATTTAGCAGCAATATTTTATTCTAACAACTATACATAAATAACATTGTGCATTTGGAAGCTTTAAGGTACAATATCTTTAGATAATAGTGTGTGTGTGTGTGTGTGTGTATGTATGTGTGTGTGTGTGTGTAGACACGCGCACGTTGGTCCTATGGTTGGGTACTGTCCCTGAGCTTCTTTTGCTCAAGACTAGTACTCAACCACTTAACCACAGCTCCACTTTCTGCTTTTTGGTGGATTTTTCTGCCCAAGCTAGCTTCAAATCCCCATCCTCAGATCTCAGCCTTCTGAGTAGCTAGGAGTACAGGTGTAAGCCACCAGCACCTGGCTCCAGACATGTCTTTTTAATTGCACCATTTTTGCTATCAAGAAATTTTGTTGGCTTAATAAAATGAGTTGGTACAAATCTTTATAGTGTGATAAACTGTTTTCATGCCCTCACTTTAGTAATGTAGGAAGATGAACATCTGCTTCCTGCTAAACATGTCTTGTATTTTCTTACAAAGACAAGAAAGTAAACACATGTGTTTCTCTGTGATTTTGGACTATGTACCGAATACTGACTTTCACAGTTATGAATATTTATCAGTTGCTGCTATTAAAAGGCAGTTTTTTTCCCCTCCCAAGGTTTTGAGTAAACAATTTCAAAATGTTACCCCATCTGTCAATGTTTTCAGAAAACAGTACAAACCTTCTTTTTTATCTTCTGGAGTAATCTTCACTTTTGTATCTGTTATATCTTTGAAAGAAGCCAGAAAAAGTACCACATCTCCTTTCTCATTCTTTATAGGAACTATATCCAGTAGGCACCAAAATGGTGACCCTGCAATAGAAATAAAAGCATATATCAACCATTGTCTTCAACTTTTTCTATGAAATAATAGAAAAAAGGCCTCAATGATTTTTCTTCTATCCCACAGTTCTTCCATATTAAAAAAAAAAATCAGGATTTCTTTTTTCCAGTACTGGGGCTGAAACTCAACCTCAGTGCTATCCCTGAGCTTTGTTGCTTATGGTGAGTGCTCTACCAGTTTCAGCCACAGCACCACTTCCAGTTTTCTGGTGGTTAATTGGAGATTAGAATCTCATAGACTTTCCTGCTCAGGATGGCTTCAAACCACAATCCTCAGATCTCAACCTCCTGAGTAGCTAGGATTACAGGTGCGAGCCACCAGCACCCAGCTCAGTTTTTCTATTCCATAAATATCTATCTCATCTGCATATCTCTTGATTCTTAAGTAAAATAATTTCTTGAAAAGAGACCATATTTTAAATGAAATAATTTGTGTTAAGATATTTCTGCTTGCACCATTCAAATTATATTTCTTCTTTGCTGAAGAAACAATGCACATTATTTAAAAGAGGTTGTGCCAGACGTCATAGCATACAGGGTTTTGGGGTGCTTTAGGTGGTTTTTTTTGGCACTACTGGGATTTGAACTCAGCACCATGCAATTTTTAGATTCGAGAGGCTCTTAAATGAAGACACCTATTTTGCCCGCATTTGTTAGAAGCTTGAACAATTAAAAAAATCAATGAACACAGTAGAAGGATGAGGGGGGAGAGAAATAAATCCCATAGGTAGGTGGGGACTAGCAGGAGGGGTATGTGTTGGCAGGGAGGAAACGGTTTATTTCCAGCTATGAAAACAGAACGGGGAGACTTGGGGACGCTGTTTTGTACTGGAGAAGGGCAAAGAGTGTGACTGAAGGGGTAAAATTGATTGGAATACAATATAAACAATATGGAGACGTAACAATGGAACCCTCCCCTATGGAATATATGAAGCCAATTAACATACCTTTAAAATAGAAGAAATTAAAAAGAAAATACCACCTATGAGGGAGTGTGCATAGCCACTTATTCTCATATATACTTGGCTGTTTTGAAATTAACACCTCCTTTACAATTTGTCAGCATGAAGATTTATTCTTACCATATGACATTGTGCATCACTATGAATGGGTGATTTAATTATTCACACCCAAATGGATGAACATTGCTAACAAAATGTTGAGCCAAAGGAGCCAAACACTGAGAGTAGAATGAAATATGCATTCACTTATATAAACTACAAAAGCAGGCACAACTAATCTCTAGTGTTGAAAGTCAGATTAGTGTTTGCCTTTGAGGAAAGGGTAATTGAAGAACTTTGAGATGCTGTACAGGTTTCATCCTATGGTCTTCATGCTATTTACATTCAGATTTTGAAAAAAATCTACCTTTTCTATATGGATATTATATATTAAAAAGCAATAAGAAAATTAAATTCAATTTTTTGAAAAAACATGAGGAATATTAAGACCCATATTTTAAAATTATAGTCATCAAAGTGTCTTACATGAGGCTTATTGGAGTCAATATTTTTATCTATTACAAAATAAATATTTTTAAAATGTATGACATTTCCTTCACTGCATTATTTACTAGCAGGCCTTCTGGATAGAAATGTTGGAAGTTATGTAACAGTCATTTTAACTCAAAATTAAACTACTAATCTGTTCTTATACAGCTCATTAATTTTCCAACGGGGATAAAGAGTTCAATGCTATAAAGTATTTTTCTTATTTGTAATTATGTATGTGTGCTTGTATAATATGTTAATTGAACAAACTGTCATTGTGATATTTCTATATATGCATATAATATACTTTGATCGCATTCACTCCATGTTATTCTTTCCTAATCTCTCTATCACAATTCTTAATGTTTCATTATTCTATTTTCATACATGAATATGATGGTACTTCAATCATGTTCACATACATTTCCTTCTTATTTGGGAATTAACTTCAAAGTCAAGGTGGAAGACAAAAATAAAGTAAAAAGTGTTTTTTATTTTTTTTTGGGGGGGAGGGGGTCCAGTCGTGGGACCTGAACTCTGGGCCTGGGTGCTGTCCCTCAGCTCTTCAGCTCAAGGCTAGCGTTCTACCACTTGAGCCACAGCGCCACTTCTGGCTTTTTTTCTTTTTGTTTATGTGGTGCTGGGGAATCGAACCCAGGGCCTCATGCATGTAAGGCAAGCGCTCTACCACTGAGCCACCTTCCTCGCCCTGTTTTTGCTATTTTAACTTGTGTTATATATACTGTATTTGAATCATAACTTCCAGTACAGGTGAAATATCCCAGGTGTGATGTCTGCTCTTTCTCCTTTATGCAATTGAGTACTGCATACAGCACCTGATTTATATTTAGAAGCCATTTGTTAGGAGCATAGTATTTTATTTAAGCTGTTATATTTTGAGACTTGTGGATGGCTTCACACACAACAGACATGTCTATGGTGTGTTGCTATCATAATCCATCATGGATTATCCTAAGTATCATGAAGTATGCATGGAACATAACATACCTACATAGTGAAGGATGCCTGCTTATGCATATGGTTTGAAATATGATTTCCTCTTTACTCTTTTGTCTCAGAACTGTATTTTCCTCTTTCATTAAGCGACTCTGAATTCTACAACATCAAACAAGCCATGTGACAGTGGGGAACCCAATTATGCTGTTTGGAGCTTGGTTTCCACCATTATAACATTCTCATATCCATATCTAGAGGTGGATTTGGTAACTAAAACAAGTTGATAGAGCAAACCAGTTCTGTTGAATATTCAGGAACCTCATGAAAGAGCCTTATCTCTGATTAACCACTGCTCTCCCCGCCATCATCCTAAATTTTACCTAGGACCACCTTATAAAATTGCGATTTTTTTCATTAATGCTATTGTTATGGCAAAAAAAAAGCAATCAGGTCAAACTAAACTAGCAATCAGATCCTCTAGAAGTAACAGAGGAGGATACAGGGAATGACATAAATCTAGCATTTCGTTCATATTTTTAGTGCATCTGGTGGCCAATTACCTTGGGAAAATGTCACCAAATCATTACAGAGTCTATTATTTTTTCCTGAAAGTCCCTCTTACCTACACTCTCAGACAAGCATCATTACTGTCTTGCGGAGCCTTTGCCCAAGTGCACCAAGGTATTTTGCAAGAAAGGAAAAGTACAAAATGATATGAAAGCTAAGGAAATAGCAACCAACCTGGAAATATGCTCTAATCAGGTCCTTATGCACAGCCATCATTTCACATTATGTTCTGAGAGAGCCGAGAGTTTACTTTGAAAATTGTCTTTTAAATTATGAGATGTGATCTTTGACATTTTGTAAATTCAGTAAGACTTCATTAATGTGGGTCTCTTTATTCACAATTTATAATGATTTGGCATAAACTAAGACCATGTCTATATTTATAGGTCCTACATGACTAAAAGCATTCAAGTTTTTAGCAAAACTTCAACTTTCTATTTGTAATAAGTACATGTGACCCTCGTTTAAAAAATTATGACAGTATAAGAAACATATAGAACTATTTCTTTTCTACCCTTTCCTCACTCCCTTCTCTCCCTCTCCCCTTTTCCTTCCACTTCCCCTTCTTTCTCCCTATCCTTCCTTCCTTCCTCCCTTTTCTTCTTCCTTTCCCTCCTCCCTTCCCTCTTTCTTCTCCTGCACTTCCCTTTCCTCCTCCTCTCCTTCCCTTCTTTCCCTCCTTCCCTCCCTCCCTTCCTTTCCTCCTTCCCTCCCTCCCTTCCTTTTCTTCTTTCCTCCCTTCCTCTCTTCCTCCTTTCCTTCACCTTCCTTCCCTTCTATCTTTCCTTCTGCTGCTGTTACAGATTTATCCACATCAAATGCCTTGACAAATTTTGAGTACCTCTAAAAGTTGCAAAGTAAAGCATATTGCAGTTGTAGCTCTTCTAGGGAGAATAAATAACCAAAAGCTCCCAACACAAGATCATTCACACTTAGCTAGTTCATTTGTCCTATCTTTTACTTTCCTAAATCTCTCCAAGAAGGCTTCCACACTAGCTATTGGACAATATCTCCAATCTTGGAAAAATCTAATTATTCAAAGCTACTCAACAGGGTATGGCTTTTCTTCATTTACTTAATGGCACAAAGGTGACCAACTTCAGTCAAGAGCAATTCAATTCCAGTGTAATAAACCTCTAATAGACTTTTCATGGAATTTGCACAGTCCTTCAACCTTGAATAAAGAGATGTGAGTGATTCTTCAGAGAAGGGTTACAGAGCAGAAATCTTGTGTCAGATTTAACTCCTCTGTATATAGCAACAGTAATCACCATGTAGGTCTGGGAGTGCCAAAACAAAGATCTGCCAGTATTTAGGTTAATAACACCTTTAATTTCCAAGGATAAATACAATTGATGGAGAAAAATAAAACCACATAGGGTTTTTACCATACATGGTAAAGTGTACTTGAGGAGTCAAATAAATAGTTACAAAGGAACTTAAACTAGTGGAAGGTTCCACAATCCATTTTGTATTTGTCAGAAGACAGAGATTAATAATACGGTGTCTACTGTGACTATCAGGTCTACTAACTCAAGACAAGCAGGTACTGACATGAAGAATGCTGAGGTTGAGGGGTATTATTCTCTACAATGACTGCAGTATCATGACAGGTGTCTTCTTTATCTCAAAACACCATATCACCAATTGTTTATTTTCCTCAACAAGATCTGGAATGCATGTCTTTAAGTGGTTGTACAAAGGAGTTGTCATTCCACAAAGCAGTTTATCAGTGCCACGCATCTTGATCACTGTCATACCTTGGCAGGACCTCTTGTTTGTTTTTGAAATTTTGGCAACTCCAAATAGAATGCCTTCATTGTTAGCAGCATTGTGCCATATGACCTAACCATTATCAGATGTTTCTCATGTTTCACAAGAAGTCTAATGGATACTGTTCTCACTGGTGTTACTTCTGCAATGATGTCAAGAGAAGCTGGCCAACTTTAGATATTAGTCCAAGAATGCACGTTGGGGACGAAGTGGGAAAGGGATTCAGATGTGTGAACAAAGTCGCTGTCAGTGGCAGTGGCAGCTGGGTGACAGAACACCTGCATTGGAAGTAGAAAGGAGTGTGGGCATTACTAGGAGTCCCCACGCTGGCCCTCACGGTTCTCGATCACACTTCCTGAAGCTGTGTCCTGGTTTCTAGTACTTCTCATTTTCCAAAATTTTTCTCCTGTTTCAAGTCTTCCTGTCATGCTGCTTCCAATAAATTTTGCATCTATAGGGTCCTAATCAAAATCACCCAATATCTTTTAATGCTTGTGTAAATTATTAGTATGACATTCCAGCCTCTTTTCAGCCTGAGGGGTTCTGTGTCCAATAGACAACAAGAGAAAACAAGGGCTGGATAGATAGTGGGAAGAGATAACTAAAGGAAGCATTACATTACAAACCAGGGGAAGGTTCCAGAGCTGCAATGGAGATTCTAGTATACATATATAATACATATACAATATATAATATGTGTATATATTGTTGTAAAGGTGAGGTACAATGGGGTTAGTTACATAAACTGGGTAATGAGTACATTTCTTTTTGAACAATGTCACCCCTTCTCTCACTCTCCCAGTTTTTCTCTGTCATTCCCACCCATAAGTTATATAGTTCATTTTCAACATAGTGTCTAGTGAGTACACTGCTGCATCTGCACCTTTTCCTCACCCTTTCTGTGCCCCATTTTACCCTTCCCAAAACAGATAAACTCACAAATAAGTCAAAAGCTATAGAAAACAAAAACAGCAACAAGAATAAAACAACTCATTTCCATTTCTTGGAGTTCATTTTGATTACTATTTATTATGATCATATACACATAGCTACTGAGTCTTTGTGATTCTCTCTCACTGTGTTAATGTCTAGAGAACTGTATAATTTATTATGTCCTGGTACATTGTTATCTTTTACCACATTCTAGCTATCACAAAATGAGGGAAGCCATGAAGCCTGTATTTCTTTGAGTCTGGCTTAGTTTGCTTTAACTAATGAAGATTCTTCTTTCTTCACTGGTATCCTCTGCTAAGAATGATATTAATGATTCTCCAGTAAAGTATCAGATAAAGGATTCATTGTTCTGTTATGAACACCTCTCTGTGGACTTGTTTAATTTAGTCTATACAGGTTGTAAGCTTTTTCTCAGTACCCATTAATTTGACTTTTAGTGGAAACCCTTTCTAAATGCCCCCAGGACACCAATGGACCAAAATGAATGGGAACCCCAGCTTTTCTGTAGCAGGGTTGGGTAGAATGGCTTAGACAGGAGATGAACTGGAGCTGAACGAGCTGGAGATCTTCGAGAACAGGACAGAGGCTACAAATAACCTTCATTTCAATGCTGAATGGAAAACAAGGGCCTCAGAAAGCAGTGTGTTTGAAATTTCTTTCTGTGAAAATAAAAATGGAGCTAAGATGAAGCACAGTGGTAGAAAACTGGCTGCATGCACAAAGCTCTGGTTTGAACCTCAGAACAACAACAACAACAACAAAGGAACAGCAGAATACATATAAAATATTAATATTGATTGAATGTGTAATTGTAATTCATTCTCATTTCTTTCCAAACATGTCTACGTTTAGATTTTTTTCAAGTATACGTAAAGAATACAAGTGAAATTCTGATAAGTCTAGAGATTTGAGATTGAAGTGGTTTAATTGGAATTGGTTCAAGATTGGCACAACAAGAGGTCCTATATCTGGGGAGATCACTATTTGAGACATTAGCCATGATTTAAAAGAGAACTTCAAACATAGTCCACTTTAATCATTGTTAAAAGTTTTATGTTTAAAAGCAAAAGATTTATATGGTCTGAGAGAAACCAGAGTACTGTTGGTGGGAGTGTAAAATTGTTCAACCACTCTGGAAAGCAGTATGGAGGTCCCTCCAAAGACTAAACATAAAGCTCCCCTATGACCCAGCAATCACACTTCTGGGCATTCACTCAAATGACCACAAACAAGGCCATACTAAAGCTACTATCACAACCATATTCACTGCAGCATTATTTACCATCGCTAAGATATAGAACGAACCCAGATGCCCCTCAGATGAATGGATCGAGAATATGTGCATATATACACAATGCAATTCTATGCTTCTAACAGAAAGACTGACATCATCCCACTGGTAAGAAAATGTAAAGACTTGGAAAAAATCATATTAAGTAAGCCTGATCCAAAGAAACAGACTCCATGGTTTCGCTCATCTGTAATAATTAGTATGTCTACAATAGTCCTAGAAGAGGATCACAATAGCTCAATAGCTATGTATATATGATCACATAAGATGATGCTAAGTGAAATGAACTCCAAGATATGGAAACAAGAGGATTTTCTTTGTTGTTGTTTTTAGGTGTACTACGTGAAGTTATTTCTTTTTTCTTTCTGTTTTTTTCTTTTTTGTTCCCCTTTGGTTTATCCCTTATTGTGACTGCATTTGATTTTGGTACCCTGTGTATTGTATAAGCATTTATCTGAAATAGAGAAGGGAAGAGGAACAACAAAATGGTGAGACAAAGGACAAAAGGTGAACCATGCAATAGTGATGCTCAAAAGACAATATGTGGGAAATGAACTTTACAACTTGTGGGGAGGTACTGGGCGGGGTGCGAAGGGGAGCAAAAGTGGGAGAATAATGAGGAAGGGGATAACAAGGTTCGAGAAGAAATGTACTCACTACCTTACATATGTAACTCTAACCTCTCTGTACTTCGCCTAGACAATAAATTAAATTTAAAAAGAAGTATTAGGTTAAGTCAGAATATCTCTAAAAAGTGATCAGAGAAGGAGGAAAGGAAGAAGGGAGGAAAGGAAAAGAAAATCAAGTGATACTGAACTGATTTGTATGAAAGAAGGTTTCTCTTTCTGTTTACTCCAAGTTTACTTTCTTTAAAAAAAGAATATATGGGCTGGGAAGATGGCTCAGTGGTACAGTGCTTGCATTGCATGCATGAGGCCCTGGGTTCGATTCCTCAGCCCCACATAAACAGAAAAGGCCAGAAGTAGCACTGTGGCTCAAGTGGTAGAGCACTAGCCTTGAGCTGAAAAACTGAGGGACATCACCCAGGCCCAGAGTTCAGGCCCCATGACAGACAAAAAAAAAAAAAGAATATATTAGGGTTGGTAATGTGGCTTAGTGACAGAGTGCTTGCCTAGCATGCATGCTTCTAGAATGTAGTCAATTTGGTTCATATGATAAACAAAGAGAATTCTTGCCTATCATTAAAAGGATTGCCGATGGAAATACAGAACCAGCTGGGATTAGTTTAGAGTAGAAAGCTGAAAAATTAAGTGTTGCTCAATAATCAGTCCAGAAGAAGAGCTCACGCAATATAGGACACACAGAGAATTGCTGGTAAGACCTGTCATTAGCTAAGCATCTACTATGTGATCTATACTATGTATCATATCTAAACTCACCACTGGTCAGTTATGACCCACACTTGGAACCATACTTAAGAGTTGTAGAAATTGAACTATGTATCAATTTTTTTTCAGGTTTAACAGCCAGCCAATGTCAAAGACTAGAATTTACACACAAGTATGAGTTTGATTTTCTAATTTACTTTACTATAATAGTTTGGGAATGACACTGTTCTGTGAACAATTGAGTTTCATTTTCATTCATTCTCTTTTCTTACAGGGCTTAAAATTTTTTCCTGCTGTAAAAGAAAAAGTGGGACAAAGGGTGAGTTAATGCAGCAGTGATATTCGCCAGACACTCTGAACGTTACAACTTGTGGGATGATGAGGGTAGGGATGGCATTGTTCCAAAAGAAATGTACTCAGTATCTGAAGTATGTAACTGTAACCCCTCTGTACATCACCCTTACAATAAAAAAGAAGAGGAAAGAGAAAAGGTGAAGAAAGGTCTTTGGATAATCCACAAATCTCACTTTCAGCCCCCAAAAGAGTATAACCTCTTTTTGAAATGAAGGTTCACTATTTCAGTTTAGGACTGGAACTTACACTTTGTTAAGGTACTTGTGCTTTTCAATTTTAGAATTGGTTTGTGTATCCAATGGTCAACTAGAATTAGAAAAACACTAGTGGTAACTTCCATCTCCAGATAAGAAAGAGGGAGTATAGGAATACAAACATCATGATTATAGTCTCCAAGTATAGGTGCGTCTTTTGACAACATTCATGGGCTTGAGCAGTAACCAAGCTTCTGTTTTATTCTTTTAGGAAGCTCCTGAAATTGTGTTTGGTGTACCCTGGCAGCTCTGTGTAGGGCCCACAGAAACATCTCTTAACCTTATGACTAAGACTGGAAATAATAAATGGCCTTGAACCTTCATCAAGGTCTGAACTATGGCCAGAAGTGATTGATAATTGTGAAAGACCAGAAAAAAAACAGGTCTAATTTGGCAGGTTGGTAGTTTCATGATTGCTACTTCTGTCTGAGGATAGGCACTAAAATTAACTCATTTCCCTTGATACTTGATTTTAAGAAAACAATGTAAGATTTCATCAAACTAGTGGTTGTTCCATGAAAAAGACCTTGATTTAAATGAGAATCTGAGGACTACATTAACTCTCTTTGATTACACAAGGCTTTAGTTAAAGGAATCTATAGCCTTTTTTTAGGGCAATGGTAACAATTGTTGGTTCTAATAAACACATGTATTGCCTACATGAACTCAGCATGGTGCCTGGAACCGGCATTCTGGGGAAACCTAGTTTAGGACCCAAATGAAAATATTTTTATGACAAGAAATTGGACAGAAAGTTGTTAATATATTCATCAGGGAAACCATTGTTCTGCTTGTTTGGATATGTTAGTAAATAAAATAGAATAGAGCTTTGCTTATGCCCTGAAAGAACTTACTTCTTGAGTCACAACCCTAGTCCAAAATGAAAGTAGAGTGCCTGTTTAGCAAGCACAAGGTCCTGAGTTCAAACCCCAGTACTCCCCCCCCAAAAAAAACCAACACAAAACAAAATTAAAACAGCAACAACACTACATTCTCTTTTAAAGAGAAAATAACAAACTATACCTGTGACAGATAAGTCCAAAGATCTTAAAATGCTACAGAAAAATGAAAAATAAGGGAGAGAGTAATAGGAACCATTATAACCCAAGGACTACATCTGCATACATGAAGATAGAATAAGAAACCCATTATTTTTAGAAAAGAGGTGGGGATAAGAAGAAAGTGATAAGATACATTCCAGATACATTATTTGTTTTTATGGAACCATCCCAAGAAAAATCTCTCTGATCTCTCTGTATAATTAATATATTCTAATAAAAAAGAAAGAGTAGTAGAGCAGGATGAGTATACAAGAAGAAAAGGCAGGACTTCATGACAATTCTCAAATTGTTCATGAAAGTGTTCTTAATATTGCTTCTGAATATTGATGAGTTACCAGTGTACTATTTCAGGCCCATTTAGCTATAAACCATGAGAAGACTATGATGAAGGTTTGAGATCCAAAAAGGAGAGAAGGAAGAAATGTTGGACCAAGTGCTTTGAGTCACAGGGCAGATCTCAGTTGAGCAAGGCCATCAGGAGACATTGGGCTGAGGAACAGGGTTGACCTTACCTGCATCACTCATTCATTGATTGGAAGTATTCCATGGCAAGTCTGGCTCTATGCCAACAGAGTGAGGTGTTTTATAACATAGCAATTGTGACTATCAGCCAACTATCTTCCTATAAATGGATGGATGAGTGGCACCTTCTCTTGGTTGCCTCACTGGTATAGACAAGAACTCATTTTTCTCAGAGTACCATCCATGACTTCTTTTTCTATCATACCTCCAAATGATTAGGGACCAAACCTCTCCTCTGTATGTGGCCTTCATGGAAGCATCCATCCCACCTGACGCTCTGACTAAAACTTCAG